AAAAACAAAAACATAGGTTATGTCACATAGCTTAGGGATGAGTAGGTCACACAATCAAGGGGTGTGTGTGTGTATATAAATATACATATATACATACATATATATATATTCCTTAGAATATATTCCCATCCTTAGTGATTTATGACTGCATATATATGTATATATATGTGTGTGTGTATATATGTGTGTGTGTGTGTGATTATATGGACTTATTACAAGGAATTTACAAGAATATTTTAAATATGGTCCATGTAAGCCTGTTTGCTCTTAACAGTCATTTGCCACTGTGGAGAAAGTATTCTCCTTTTGTTTTTTCTCTGGTGGTAACAGAAGGGAAGAGTACTCCAGCTCTGTCAGTGGTTGGAAGGGGTCTCCAAATCTTTGCACTACTGGGACTTGCAGAAGGTATGCAGACAAAGGGTACAGGGAGACACACTTGGAAAAGGGACAAGGGAAAGGCATCTCTCCCGGCTGGGGAGAAGGGGGACTTCAAGGGGCCAGTGGAAGGAAAGAAATGGATTTATTTACCTGGAGAGGCGGCAGGGGGTCCCGTGGCAGCTTGAGGGGCAGTGGGACTGCTGTCGTTCTGCACCTGAAGGCACAGATGACACACTCAGACCCTCCCCAACACCACGCTGCTTGGCTGGGTCTGCCCATTTTCCTCCAGACCCAGGGAGGGACTCACCGATTTGTTGGGCGCCTGCTGAGTGTTATACTCTGGATTGGGCTCGCTGAAATTAGGAACTTCAGAATAAACCATGCAGAATCTGCAAGGAAGAAAGCCAAAGCCTTGGACGCATCTTTTGGGCCACACACAAATCCCGCCAATGGGGTGGGGACGGCACAGGCTCGTTTGTGTGTTGTCTTCTGGTAAACCCTAACTTGCCCGCTTGGGTCGGCTAGTGCTTATCTTAATTCTCAAGACAGAACTTACTCTCCAATCTTCTGCAGATCGCCCCCACGGCCAGTGTAGAGTGTCAGACAACCTTTGAACACTGAAGCATACCTGTGGAGCAGAGTGAGGGTCAGCAGGATTCAGGCTTCAGAAACGCTGCAGGGACTTTTGACCACACCCTTCGGCGGTTGCTGCTGGGAGCCCTGACTTACCCTTTGGTGAGTCGGATAATGTCCCCAGGCTGGATGAGGTTGCCCACGTCGTCCCACACTGAGATATTGATGCTGCCCGTTTTGTCTGCGACTTTGCAGGTCCGAACCTCGTGTCCGTCCTTTGTCTTAGTCACTCGGCCTTTCAGGGAAGGAATACATGGGGGGTGGGATTAAAGTCATGCAAGTGGGGTGGTGGCGGTGAAAGTCTGGGTGTTTGGCTGAGTGAGGGAAAAGTGAAGACGCTGAGCAAAGCTCATATACCTCCTCGGGGGCTGGAGGTTATGCGTGGGTGTGTGTGGGGGGGGATGGTAGTTGGAGGGTCCAGCACCATGGAGAGAGCCCTGAGTGGAAAAAGGCCCGCGTGGCTGGTGAGGCATCAGGCTTTCTAAACTTCTATCTACTCTGCACCCACCGGCAGCTAGCTCCTTGTGCCAGCCGGTCTGAGAGAGGGGTTAGAGGGCCCTGGGGGAGCCTCCTCCCATCCCAGGCAGCAGGTTAAGGACGTAGGCGGGGGTCCCGTGTGCCCCCACTCTCCACGCCCCTCCCCTTTGCTCCCACGAGTCCACTGCGCATGCATAGCCACCTGTCTCCAGTACAATGAAGATAAGGTTCAGATTCTTGAGCCCCGGCTTGATATCCTTCACGAAGGTCTCGGTCGTCATGCTTCCCGAGCCGTGGCACCCCGCTGGAAGTGGAAACGGGAGATGAAGAAGGCTCAGGGTCGGGAGCCTTCGCCCCCATGCTCCCGTTTGGCCTACCCCGCGGCACCAGGCGGGGATCCGGCAGCCTGGGTCCCCCTCTCCAAGCCCTCCGGGGAGGTCAGACACAAACTTCCCTGGGGGCCTCGTACTTCGAGATCGGAACTTAAGAGATCTCCGGGAAAGACAAGGCTTAGGGGCTGGACAGCCCTCTCGGTCGGGATGCCTTCGGGCTCACGCTCCGAAGCAGGGGGGGAGGCTGCGGGAGCCCCGTCGGGAACCCGGTGCAGGGCCAGGGGACGGAACCCCACTCCGCGGGCCTTGCCGGCTCCTCGTCCCCGCACCCCGAGCTCGCCCGGCCCCTCCCCTGGCCCACGCGCAGCCCACCACCCACCCACCCAGCCGGCGGGCGGGACCGTGCACGCCGCCGAGCCACCCGCAGGGGGAGCCAGGGGGCTGGCCGCCGCCGGATGCTGCCGAGTGGAACGCGGGAGCGCACACATTCCCGGAAGTGTCCCCTGACCTTCTCCGGCCAATAGGGACCGAGCTGCTCTCGAAACGCCCCGCCTCCGGACAGCGCCCATCCAATCAGGCTCCGGCGTTCGCGCGCCGCGAACGGGGCGGGTCTTAGGCCTTAAAGGGGCCTCGACGGAGATCGGTTCCGTCGGAGGGGAGCTGGGCGGACCACCAGGGGGCGCCTCCGCCGCCAGAGCTTCCCTTCGGCTCTGAAAACGCGCTTCAGGCTCCCAAGATCTTTTTGTTTTGTTTTCCCCTTTTCAAGCAGTCGCCCAAGGGAAAAAAGGTCCCAGGGCTTTGGCATGCAGCGGGCCGAAGCCTGAATCCCATTCTGTCTCCTCGCTGCTTTTCTTGGCCATTAAACATATAAATTCCGTTTTACCCCTGAGAACGGAAAGTTGGGTAAAACAGCGATGCCTAGGGCATGGCAGGAGCTTACACAGACAGGGTCTTCATCGTGAATACACTAAACGGTTGGGCCCCGGCCTCTGGAACAAGTGGCCTCGTTTATGCTACAGAAAGACAATAGGCAGGCTCAGCCTCCTTCGGAAGAAATGGAACCTGGGACCTAAAAAGCAAGTCTCATTTGGTTCACAAGGCATATCCGGTTCCTGTTTTCTTCTCTCTCTGGACCTGAAAGTCTCCTGGAGCATGCAACCACCCATAACCTTTACTTTTCCTCGGGTCCTTGTCAGATTGCCCTCAAAGGTAACCAGCTCCGTATTCTTATAAACACAGCAGGTACGGATGCACTAACGTGAATGTCCCCTTTTTAAAAAAGAGAATACAACAAATACTGTTGGACGCCAGGTTAGCCTACGGGGTAATGCGATTTCATTTCTTGTCCTGCTTAATTCCTTACCTACCCCAGAGCGCACTGAGCTCCACCGTGACTTCCCCCGAAGCCCGGGTTCCCTTCCCACCCACACGGCCCCCGATCACGGCGTTGCCACCCTGGGAAGCCCAGCCCTTTCGTGTTTCGGGGCACGGTGGACACTTGAAGAGCGTGCGTGTGTCTGGGAGGCGGGCGACCCTGTGGACACCGTGGATCAAAGCCCTGCGGTGAGACAACTCCCTCCCTCCGCGCCCGGCCTAGGTTAACTGCTGCGTCCGTCCCCATGACGGTGAGTCACAGGCTCGGGAGGCTCGGGGTGCTGACCACAGCCCTGCAAACGGGGGGGGGGGGGCGCTGGCGGGGCAGCAGCAGGTCGCGCTGCAAGAGCAGCTGCCCCGCGGCGCTCTCGCCGCAGCGTGCATCGTCAGCCCCAGCGCCGCATCCGTGCATCGTGGACGGACACGAGGTGGCTCCGAGCGCGGCGCACTCGGGGTCGCCCCGGCGAAGGACACAGAGTCCCCCCCCTCCCAAGGGGCTACAAGGTCCCCAGCAGGGATCCCAAAGGACTTCCGGCCCCGAGCGGAGGCCGCTGGCCAGGAGCGTCCAGTCGCCACCGAGTTAAACAAAGGGGCGGGGCCTGGTGACGGGCTTCCGCCCCGTTGCGTAGCAGCGGTGGGCGTGGCCACGGGTTAGTCCGAGGCAACCAGGAGTGGTCGGAACCTTCTTCCCCATCCTTCCCTTCCCCTTCCCCTCCCAGGGAAGGCTGAGACCCGGCACCCGGGCTACCCCGCGGCCTCCGCGGCCTCCGCTCCAGCCTGGCCCCGCGTCCAGAGAACCCAGGCCACGTCCAGGGCGGTGCGTAATTGCGCCCGAGCGAGCTTGTAACCCAGGGTGTGGGAGGGGAGCGGAGCGGAGCGGAGGGGAGCGGAGGGGGCGAGGTCCCTCCCAGTGGATCGGCGCCTGCCCGGGTCGGAGGTGCTGGGGGTCGGGAGGGAGGGTGGGGAAGAGGAGGGACAATGGAGGAAGGGAGCTCCGCCGGGAGGAGCTGAGCTGGGGGCTCTGGGGCTTGGGAAGGTCCTTTGGAGTCGGGCAGCCTTGGGGAGTGCGGAGTGGCCTTGGCCCGAGGACCGGGGAGGAGCAAGACCGCCCGGGCCCGGGGACAGCGTGGAGTTTAAATGGCAATGATTGACGGGCCTGCCGGCGAGGAAGGCAACGTTCTGGGGGCTAGCCTTGGCAGGAACCGCGGAACCCAAACCTCCGCCCTCCCAGCGCCATAGCTTTGGCTTCTTTCCCGTGCCTTGTCTCTCTCTTTTATTCCTTCGCCGCTCCCCTCCCCTCCCCACCCCTCCGTGGCGTGGAGGACTCTTACATTCCTCACATCCTTGCCCCTGAATGATTTGCAGCCCCGCTCCCCCCGCCCTCGCATGCACGGTCCATCCACTCACTTTATACAGCGGGAAGCCCACCCCAGCCCAAGGAGGCAGAACAGTTGGTGGGTAGGGAGCAGGGAACGGGAGAGAGCCGAAAACAAGAAGGAATGAGCGTGTTGTGGATCAGCACACACTTTTCCTAGTAAGAAACTAGCTTCCTCTGAACCGGGAGCAAATGTGGCGGTTACCAAGGCCACTGTTCCCAGAGACCGACCTGTGAGAATATTGGCAGGTACTTCTTATAACAAGTTTTAGCTAATAACAGTGTTGCTGGCTGCTAGTATTTCCCCAAGAAAGAATGGGGTTGGATAGTGATAAGGGAAGGTGAGGGATGGGTACATTAGTATTGTTACGCTCTGTCTCCAACGGACCCTGTGGCAGGGCCTGCTTCCCAGAAATTGCGAAGAAGGAACAAGCAATTTCAAACATTTCCCCTGGTCCCTGTGAATTTATTGTGCCAGTCTGTTGCTACAACTAAGAGCAGTCTAGAATCCCCTTTCATATTGATTATCCCGTTTTATTTTTTTCGGGATAATATGTAAGATAAGGCAAGTATCATCGTCTCTATTTGACAGTTGGAGAAACCGAAAACCAAGAGGTTACAATGGCGTATTTGAAGTTGTCGGGTGGGTGGCAGAGCTAGGCCTGGAAAAGACCTCGGCTCTCCTGGCTCTCTGCTTGATTGACAGCCCCTGGTCCAGTTCCCAAAGGGTTAATTTTCCCAGGGCAGGAAGCTTTTTTTGTTTCTGGGTCTGGAACTTGGCCCTAGGAGACTGAGCATAGCTAATAGTTCCTCTTCCTGGTAGCATTTTTTGAGGTACAGGGGCACGTGCCAGATTGTTGGGAAATATGGGGTGTTGTTCAAAGGAACGAAGTGTTCCTTCTTCTGTATTGTGTGTGTTTTCAGGAGACAAGTAGTAGAGAGGAACATCAGCTCTCTCTCTCTCTCTCTCTCCTCTTTGGACCACCAAGAAGAGAAAGTGCCAGGTTTTACACCTTCATTCAGCTCTCCTTCACTTGAGCATTCATGCTGAACGTGCTGTGATTGAGGAGCCCGGTGAACTAATGAGCTAATACGTACCGCATTCGGGAGACGAAGACTTGGTACTCTGTATAAAAATCATCATCCTCTTTTATCCCAGCGTAGCCCTTGAGCTGTTGATGCACACACATCATGATGATGCAAGGAGTTTGATTAGTAGGAGTTTGACTAGTACTCCTGTATGTCATTGGATCGGATCCTCAGGGACCTGGACCTGGAACTTGGGTCCATCCCTGTAGACGTGCCCCTAGTCAGCCCAGGTTTACGCTCTAGCCGACTAAGTTGCCCACCCGGGAACACCACCTCTGCTTTCCCCTCCTTACCAAGTGTTTGAGTCTCCTCTGTGGCTCCTGCTGACCATGAGTTTGCGGTTCCTCCTGTCTCTGCCTCCCAGGTGTGGGATTACAGGTGTGAGCTGCCATACAGGACTTTGTGTTTTTCGTTTATGAGCACCACCCATCTCCTCAGCCCCCACCCCTTTCCTCCTCTTTTAAAGCCTGATTTCCTTCAGGCGTATTTCCCAATTTTCACCCGTAACAGCATTCTTGGGTGCCTCAGTCAAATACTGTTTTCCACAAGGAAGGTGGGACCTACCTGCATGTTTTGGGGTTTGTTTGCTCTTCCTTTCTTTTTTGTTTTTTGAGACAGGGTTTCTCTGTTTAGCCCTGGCTATCCTGGAACTTCCTCTGTAGACCAGGCCTAGCTCAAACTCACAGAGATCCGCCTGCCTCTGCCTCCTGAGTGCTGGGATTAAAGGCGTGCGCCACCAGCGCCTGTCTGGGTTTTGAAATTTTTAATTTTTTTTTTGAGACAGCATCTCATATAGGCCAGGCTGGCTTTGAACTCCTGACCCTCCTTCATCCCATGTGCTAGGATTGCAGTTACGAACCAGCATTCCTGCTTTTTGCCTAATTTTAAGTCTTAAGACTGGATTTGAACACATTTTAGAAATGGACTTCTTGACTTATTGAGACAGGGTCTCTGTGTGTGGGCCAGGCTGACGTGAAACTCACTGTCTTCTGACTCTGTCAAGCCCTGACATTACAGACACGCGCCATCATGTCCAGCTGTGGTACTAAGGATTGGGTCCCAGCACCTTGTAAATGCCAGGCAGTGTAAATGCATCTCCAGACCAGGGTTTTGGTTTTTGTTTGAGGCAGGGTTTGGCCATGAATTCTAGGCTGGTTTGGAGCTTGTTATGTAGCTGGAACTGGCCTCGAACTCAGAATTCTCCTGCTTCACTTACTGAGTGCTGGGACTGTGCATGGTCTCCAGAGTTCTTTTGAGAGGAAATAATGTAAGTGAAAACACTTTGGAAACAGTAAAGGCTAGCACAGGGAAAATAGTGTGGATTCGTATATTGTGTGGCCACCAACTTGGAATTTGTGACATTACTTGTTATATGTGTGAATAAAGAAGTGTGTGTGTGTGTGTGTGTGTATATATATATATATATATATATATATATATATATATGGGCTGGAGAGATGGCTCAGTGGTTAAGAGTACTGACTACTCGTCCACAGAACCAG